TCCTTATTAGTCATTTAATGTTAAACAACAACCGCAAACTATTGTATAACCAAACAGTTATATTTATCGAATCCGTTATTTATCATCCGCTACTCACTTTCTGCTATCCGTCATCCGCTATCCGCCACCCGCTATCCGCTACTGTTAGCCACTATCCGCTACCCGTTATCTGCTATCCGCTATCCACTGAATTTTAACCGCCATACCAAACAGATCCTAACTCTAAATAAATAGGAAGTAAGATAAAGAAGAGTAATTTTAACGACAGATATCAAGGAAAAAGAAAGAGAACTTACAAGGTATTAGAACTAACACATGCATGTGAACATTCCCCTTAGACGAGTCCGTGAGCTAACTCAACGTCTCAACAACATTTTAACAGAGAATGTCAGAAAGGGAACACGTGACACTTCCTCTTAACTTTTGCCATTATAAAGCTTAAAACTTTTGCCATTATAAAGCTTAAAACTTTTTCCATTATAAAGTGTAGTAACAAAGGGTTTCGTTGATACTAAATTAACTGAGTACAAGTTAACTAATTTAGGACAAAAAGTTATTAAGGACTTATATAGAACCAACAACTCAATTTAAAGATCAATCTCTTGAGGTTATTCCAAACTAGTTTGATGTTTTTCTTAACATACCATAGTTTCAATTAACATTGAAATTCAAGAACTAAAAAAAAAAAAAAAATTGATTGTTCTCTCTATTGTTATTTTGGTGGTCTTCACTATTAAAAGAAAAAATAATTTAGCAACAATTTTTGCATATAATTTTGGCAAAACCATAAGTTAAGCCCCTGAACGAACCCCAGAATCGCTATTAAGCCCCTAGACTTTAACTGATGCAGTTAAGCCCTTGAACTCTGGGATCAAAGCAATTAAGCCCTTCTTCTTATGCTAGTACGCCACTAAACTTTAATTTTTAAAATAAATTGCTTAAGAAGAAGGGCTTAATTGCTTTGATCCCAGAGTTCAAGGGCTTAACTGCATCAATTAAAGTCTA